TTGTTTGACTGAATCAAGTGCTTGTATGTTTCTATGTCTGGGGACCGCTTCTGTGGAAGGGTTTTCATATTCCGTTCACAGCTTGCGTATCTAATAGATGGTATTGTACTGTTCCTGCATTAGGGGAATTGTTTAGTTTCTCACCCTACCGTAGACTCTGGTATGGGACGTCCCTATAGTCAAAGATTTAAAAATCTCTACTCACCATAAAATCTTTTTCTCTGTGTTCTCTGTTGTTTCCTGTGTTCAGTTATTTATGTACTGCCTCTGACTAACTGAGCTGCCTCTAGAAGATGAGGGAGTTGGCCACCATCGGGGGCCTCCCCTAGGCTTTGCTTTGGGTTTTTGCCTCATGTCCTACTCCTGAAGGTGGTGCCATAACCCTATTATAGTCAGCTACACAATGAATTTGGGGGCCTCTCTAGGATAAGGGGACGGATATTTTTACACAATCCAATCACAAAATTCTGTTGTTGATACCATCAAGGAGCAGCATCCATGATAAGTGATGTAGTCAACATCGTAAAAAGCTTAACACCTTTTGACTTTAATATCATTTTAAGTAACTTTACAAAGTATGTCAGACAAATTAGTTGAATCTGAGTTATTCCAGTGTATGTTATCAGGTAAGTATATACTTTCTTAATTTGTCTCTATGAGGTGATCCTAAAACAAGGACTCTGATTACTTTAACCTTTGGCAATTCAACATTGCTTGCTACTAATTGTCACCCACCATACACTATCAAAGTTCTGCCACTGAGTATGCAGCTATCACACAAAGTGTTGCGCATAATTTACCCATTTTACATAGGGATCGTCAGTTACATACTATATTACAAGAGGGCTAGAATTATCTTCTAGGATAATTGGGATACATTGGGATCACTTGTTTCACCTAGCCTTTTTCATACAAAAATTAAATCTGATATCTGACTTAAGGTAAAGGGGTCTTTCAAATGTGGGCTTAAAGGAGAACTATGAGGTGAGTGATTTTCACTCATCCTCATAGTTCTAGCCGACCTGTGACAATGAAACTGTCGCAGGTCGGCTCAGTAGATCGGGAAGTGAGCGAGCACATACCGGCGTTCGCTCACTTCTCGATCTTGTCACAGCAGATAGTCGTGACAGGGGAGAGACTGGATTCCCCCCTCCCCGCTCCGATCCTCCAGCGCTGACTGGTGGATCAGACGGGGGAGGGGGCGGGTACAGCTGGCTCTGCCTCTAGATAGGCAGAGCCAGCTGTCACTCACGCAGCTGGGCGGATCCAGACATAATTGTCGGGATCCGTTTCAGCTGCGGCATCTCAGTATACCGCTGTAGCTCGTAGTATACTGAGCTTAGGGTGACGGGAGGATGCTAGTTTGTGTCCTCCCGTTACCCTTAGGAGAACTATGGGGAAAAGCCCTAACCCCATAGTTCTCCTATAATACATTTTGCTATTGTAAATTCCTTGCTAAGACTAAAATCGTTCAATCTGTAGTGATGAATGAGATGTTCTGTATACATTCATTTTTTAATTGTAGCGCTAAGAATCTGGTTTACATCATTACCTATTCAGACCGCAAGATGAAATGTGTGATGCACTGGAAAGCGATTGCACATCCGAATAGAAGAATGTTATTATGTACATCAGTGCCCCATTGTGACTAGATAATAAATGTCTCTAAACATACACTATATTGCCAAAAGTATTAGGACACCCCTCCAAATCATTGGAGTGTTCCGTGAAATTTCATTGCTACTAAATATTCCACGGTCAATTGTTAGTGTATTATTAGTTAGTGAAGCAACTGGGAACAACAGCAACTCAGACACAAAGTGGTAGGCCACGTAAATTGACAGAGCGGGGTCAGCACATGCTGAAGCGTGCAGAAGTCGCCAACTGTCTGCAGAGTCAATAGCTACAGACCTCCAAACTTCGTGTGGCCTTCAGATTGGCACAACAACAGTGCGTAGAGAGCTTCATGAAATACGTTTCCATGGCTGAGCAGCTGCATCCAAGCTTTACATCACCAAGTGCAATGCAAAGCGTCGGATCCAGTGGTGTAAATCACGCCACCACTGGACTATAGAGAAGTGGAGATTTGTTCTCTGGAGTGACAAATCACACTTCTCTGTCTGGCAATCCGATGGACGTGTCTGGGTTTGGCGGTTGACAGGAGAACGTTATTTGCCTGACTGCATTGTGCCAAGTGTAAAGTTTGGTAGAGGGGGGATTATGGTGTGGGGTTGTTTTTCAGGAGTTGGGCTTGGCCCCTTAGTTTCAGTGAAGGGAACTCTTAAGGCATCAGCATACCAAGACATTTTGGACAATTTCTACTAAAACTTTGTGTGAACATTTTGAGGTTGGCCCCATCCTGTTCCAACATGACTGCGCACCATTGCACACAGAAAGGTCCATAAAGACATGGATGAGCGAGTTTGGGGTGAAGGAACTTGACTGACCTGCACAGAGTCCTGAACTCAACCCAATAGAACACCTTTGGGATGCATTAGAGCAGAGACTGCGAGCCAGGCCTTCTCCAACATCAGTACCTGACCTCAAACACTCCCTTGCAGCTTTCCAGGCACAGAGGACTGCGGCTGTTATGTGAGGAATCTTATGTGGCAAGTGCTTCTGCGCTCTGTATTGCTAAACCGGTCACAGAGAGATCTTTGTGATCTCTCCACCGTCTTTGTGACAAAAACACGGCGCCTGCTTTTGCGATTTCTGCGTTGCGCTCGGGGTGATTACTGTGCTCCCACCAATGGTAACAATGTTTCTTTGCTCCTGTCTATTTCAGTCCAAACAATGCTTCTGAACACTGCCAGAAGGTCTTGTCTTTTTGACAGCAGCAGATAAAATAGCTGCTATATTTTCACAGGAGCTCCTGGCTTGCAGGAGCGCATCAGCAGGGCAGAAAGTCAAGAACATACTACATAGAGTTTTTGGGTGTGTGTAACACACCTAGTGTCCACAAATGGTTAATATGGTGTATGGGATGTATGATATACTATATTTATGTGGCTATTTGCATATCCACTTATGCATAGCCTATTGTTTGGTATTTGTGACCTTTTCTAATTTAAATTATTATAAACATCATGTTGCTTACTTTGTTACAATCCATTTTTGACTAGGCTAATTTTAGGCAGCCGTCTTAAAGTCAACCTAAGCTTTGCCCTTGTAGGACACAGCACCAGATGTGTTTAATTGCAGCCCCAAAGCATATACTTACCTTTACTTCCAGAAGCTGTAGGAAATGGAGCAAGTACATCCCCGTGTCACTCCCCTTCCACTTGTGTGACAGCACTGGTATTTAGTGACTAGCTGCTGAGGCACCCAAGCTGTCAAGTGGGGAATGTGGTAAGGGATTGAAAACTGATTTTTACCCAAAGTTTCTTACCTCCTGGAGGGTGGACATAGTGGTGAGGGAGCAAAAGGGAAAAATACATGCTGATTGTTGAGCTGCCATTAAAATTAACCTTTTGCTTTACCCTAAATTCCCATTCTGTGTTGTGTGCCTGTACATTTGGTCTGAAGCCCAGAAGTGGTGGTGAACCCATTCTACTAAAATAATGCAGATAAAACAAAAAATGTTTGTTAAAGACATTAAAATGTTTCAAAGCACAAACAATGTTGCAAAGCACATACCTGTAAAGAAGAGACTGGTTACTTACCTGTTCTGCCACTGAACGTTGCTCCAGTGCAGAAAACTGGTCCCCTGACACTTTGGGAGTGTTAATCTCCGTGGTCCCTCACAACCTCAGTAGTTCCTTCTACTGACTTCACTTGTCACTGTAGGAAATAGTGATAATGGATAGGCCAATAGGGGGAACCATTGAGAGCTGCAAGGACCATGGAGGGTGATACTAATGAAAGCACTTAGAGGCACTCAAATTAAGTAAGTATACAGTTTATTATTTCCAGGTATCCTTTTCTGAAAAAAATACATTTTGTTTTTTTCTTTTGACATGAATATGAATAAGGACTTTCAAGTCATGAGTGTATTTTGGTGTTTTTATTCATGATGCATGATGGCCTTCAATGCAGATTACAAGGTGTGGTAATTTTGCACATATTTGTTGTATATTTGGAAAATTATGCATCTCATGCACCCTTCAACTGGTGATCATTTTGCTCTATAAACAACATATGTGTGATGGATTTCAATATGACAGTTTGTGTGTAAGTATATTTTTATATACTTAAGTAAATATGTAGCACATAAAATTGGGGTTTGATGATGGTAAACACAAATATGGATATTTGGGAGTTGCAATTGCTGAATTGTTTTTGATGAAGCAGACTAGTTGCAGGCTCTAGGGCTGTCATCTTGATTCCGGCCTCACTACATAGTGAGTTACTGACCTTAAACAAGCATATAATCAGTCAAGTCTCAAAAGTTTCTGATGAAAGGGGTTTGACCTCTGAAACGCGTCAACCGGCAGAAGATCATTGTCCAGAAGGCTTTGGCTTAAGCACTTACTCTTCCGATTTTCCACTTCATTTTTTCATTTGTCCATCTTGATCTACTTTAGATCGTCACATTCAATGCTCGTTTTTAACTGTTGTTTGTAAGTACACTTCCAGCTGTACTTTACCTTTATTAAATCTGTTTTACACTATGGAGGCGATCCTTTTGCTTTGTTCCAAGTCTCAAAAATCTGAGCACTCATCCTGCATGCTTGTCCCAGATCAGTGACTCAGTAGGTACTGAAGCTAAGATCAAAATGACCATCCTGGAGTTTAGTCTGAACATAAAAAAATAGCTAAGACAGCCACTTTATTTCTGATCTCATGGGTTCTTATTAATGCACAGCTATAAAAGTAGCCTTTCTTCTTACTTCTATATTGTGTTTGTTTTTTTTGTTTGGGTTTTTTTGTGACACCTGTTTTATAAGCAATTTAGGAAGTTGGTTTCATTGACAGTTTTTTATTTATTTAAATCATTTCTCCCTTCTTATCCACCCTCCTTTCTTTTTTTATGTCTAACATGTTTGTTTGCTTGCTTTTAGGTACCTTGTTGGCCAGCGTCTTGTAAATTATGAAAGAAAGGCAAGCAAATCCACCGCCACCTCTTCAGCGCATCCTTTTCAAATAGTGCAGGATTAGAAGTAAAAAAGAAAGACCAAGGATTATAAACCTCCAGAACTTTTTGAATTGCTTTGTCTGTTTTCAAGGCATTTACTAATTTCATTGTCATATAGCATACTTCTTAAAGGACAGTTCACATGTACTGTCTACCACAGGGTTGTATTTTCAGCTCTGACAGTGATTAATTTCTTTGCAAATGTTTTTATTTGGTTAGAGTTACCATCTTGTCTTTGGTACATGAACACATTTGGGGGGTGGGGTATCCAATGAAGCAGACTATCTTAATTTTAAATCTGAAACAACAATGTCTATTAATTTATTAAATTAAGTTGTCATTTTACTGTGTTTTCTTTCTGCTTACTGCAGTGTTTCTTCTGCAAGATAAACAGTAAAAATATTGACTTTTGTGAAAGAGGCCTAACTGCCCAGTGTTGTCCCTAAAATGTACATAAACTCAAGAATAGAAAATGTATTTATTGCAGCTTACCAGCCCTTAGACTCATCTAAGTGCCTGCATTAGTTTTCTATTCGTAAATTCCATTCATTAAAGGACAAAGCAAAAACCCTGAAGATCTGGCCCCTGGATTATACTGCCAGCTGCAGGAGTAAAACACTGGGTACAAAAGACATGGCCCCTTCTGATGGCCAACCCCTCCATCTGCTAGACGCAGTTCCTTTGCTGTTATCTGAGAAGCCTTTTCTATGGTTGCACTGGAAGATTGTGAAGACAGAGGCCAGGCTGTACCGTTGGGGCGGAGTGACTGTACAGCTGTCAGCACAGGACCTTTGGTCCAAGGATGAATCCCGATTTCCAGCGAATATCCTGGAGCTATGTCTCTCACACTGGACTGATCTTCTACTGGGTCGCCCTTTCAGAGTTCAGTCAGACAATGCTAGGACTGTGGTTTGTCAGTCATCTCCATTAGAGATGGGCTTTTTGTCATTAGGCATCTGTCGCACAAGTTTGCAGTACCTAGCGTGCTTTTCCTGCTGGTGGCAGGCTCAAATCTTCGCTGTGATTTTATGATGAGTCCTAACAAATCTCAGGCTGCTTCTCTTTTTTTCACCTGGTAATCCTGTAAAATAACACATTGTATCTATAAATAACACATTGTATCTGCGCAGTAAGCCATGGTTGCCACCCATGTATACCTGCCATTACAAAAGGAGAACAGCGTGGTTTTTTCCATTTTTTTTTCAGCACAAGGAACTAACCAGGACACTGCATTTCTGCCAAGGTCAACAGGTATTTTCTGTACTTGCTGAAAAAAATGTTCTGAACAAAGTGAACTAATGCAGCCACCACATCTAAGGACTAGTAAACTGCACTATGTAAAATTTTTGTTCTTGGGTATAGTTATTCTTTAGCTTCTTTAGTGATTTTTTTTGGCTCCATAACTACATAACAGAAAAATTACTGTATGCTTTGTCCCATAAACTTTCAAAGACACAGTTGTCAATATAATGTTCACAATTTTATTAAAAGAAATATGGAGGCTGCCAATGCTGACCACTTTCTGAAAATGCTTGTTTCCTGGCTGTTATGCTGACTTCACTGTCCTGAAACAAATATGCATTTTGGGAAATGTCCGAAAAAATCAGTAGTCCTTATCTGTATACCAATTCTGTGTTAGTGACTCAACCATATGCAGAACATAGGGCTGTGATTACATTCTCAGAGTTTCTCTCAGGAAAGTTTTCCTTTCAGTACTCCTAGAAGCCAGGCAGAATGCAGAAGTGGATTCTAACTGCTGAAGTAAATCCAAAGTACAAATGTTCACAAAGACATGAAACATATCTGTTATTACAAAGCAAAATCATGCACTCAAAACTAGGGATGCACTGATACTTTCGAGTACCAATGCCGATACTTGGCATTTTCATGAGAACTACCAGGGTTGCAGCGGTTGCAGCTGGGACCTAGCTGTTCCGCTCCACCACTGTCCTGAAATCATTAATCGATATTGTTTTAGAAAAACTGTCACATGACAATAATACAAAAATGTATCAGTACTCGTACTTGTAAGTACTTGGGCAAGTACCAGTACTCGCAAAACTGGTATCGGTGCATCCCTTTATTTATATTTATAAAAACAAAATCATACATTAAAACAGAGATGTACAAATCCCAGGAGCTCCGTGTGCTCCTTACAAATGACAGCTGCCTCCTAACTTTTGAATTTTTCTCTAGTCTAGTCTTGGAGCTCGAAATGTGTCGGTACATGTACTTGTACCGAGTACTGTACTTCGTATCGTTGCATCCCTACTCAAAACATAAAGAAACAAAAGCGATAGGACATGCACAGAAGTACCATATTCTTGGGTTACAGTAAATAATCTTTAACTTAACTTTAACCCACTCTGACATCATTGTGCTCTGTACATCATACATACTTCCTAAAAATAAAGGAGAATTTCAAACTTTAATACATTTGATCAACAATGTCTATATTGGTATCATATCATAAGTTAAATGTATGAAAAACTCTATTTGTGGGCAAAATTATTTTTTTGAGATACTCAATTTATAAAAAAAAGTTCAGATTTGAGTCAGTGACCCATCGTCCTCGTGTTTGATATCTGATGTTACACAGACAGATACTAGCAATGAGCTGGGGCTTGATGTGAACCCAGTTCGCCTAAGTTTGCTCAACAAATTTGTTTTGGATCGATTCACATTTTTTTTTACAAATCCAGTTCCGAATTCGGATCAATTAAATTTTTCCGTTTTTAGTTTGATTGATCCAAATATTTTCTGGTTTTTTTTTTTTAAATAATAGTTTATTAAACATTTTAAACCAAAGACATCAATAAGTGGAAAAATAAATACAGTACATGAGCAAACAAGCACAAGCTAGATTTAGAATAACATCATGAATTAGGATGCATAAAGCCTAGACAGCAGGTAATAACAAGGTGGCCATGGCACTTGCAACTGTATAAGATGAGTTAATGCTACAACCTGTTGAAGGGGTTACACCCCATGGTAAAAAGGTGGGTAAGAAAAAGGAACCGACCTTAAGCCATATGTATAGGCAAAAAAGAAAGAGGGAGAGAAAATAACATTTAGGGAGAAGGAGAAAAGACAGAAGAATAGAACAGCAAAGAAAGAGAAAGCAGAAGAGAAAAAGCAGACAGATAGGGAGACAGACATGAGGTCAGAGAAGAAACAGGGAGAAGGATGGCCCAATGTTACAGAGAGGCCAGTAGTTCAGTGCCATAGGCATTTCAGCGATGCAATGGAGCTTTGTTCTGAGCAGCAGCCTGGCAGTTTCCATCTACCAAATCTAATGGGTCCACAAGGTCGTACATTGAGGCTGACGATCATGGAGATGAGCCGTCAACTCTTCGAAGTGCATTATAGAGCACAATTTAGCAATCCACTGAATGGTCGGGGGAAATATGGAATTCCAATGACGGGGGATAAGCATTCGGGCAGCCGCCACAGAGAATTGGAGCAGGTCCGTGACTGAGCCATTCCTTCTCATTTTTGTTCAATTTGAATATATTTGGATACATTTTATTATGTTGTTTAAATGTGAAAATCTAAAAAAACCAGCATGGGGTCCCCCCAAATTCCTACCAGACCCTTGATCCGAGCAGCAGCCTGGCACAGCAGGAAAGGGGGGAGGGATGATCGTGTGCCCCTTATGAAAGGGGGCACTTAGATTCAGATAGGCCCCCCTGCACCCAGACCCCCATAGCCATCAGGCCAGGGTTGTAGGGAAGAGGCCCTTGTCCTCATCAACATGAGGACTCTGCCCCATGTTGAGGGCAAGTGGCCTGGTATGGTGCGGGAGGGGCGCACAATTGTCCCCCCTTTCCTGCTCTGCCAGGCTGCTGCTCAGATCAAGGGTCTGGTTTTGGCATGGGGTCCCCCCTAAAATTCCTACCTAAAGGATTTGGTGGGAACCCCACGCTTTTTTTTTTTTTTTTCGATTTTCCTAGGCGACCTAGGTAAGTTCTGGTGCATTGCAGGAAAAATATAAACATACTCACCTGAAGGTTGGAATGTAGTCCGAACGGGCCACATAGAAAACAATCATTTTCTGTACTTACTTGCCGCTGACTGGCATTGGTCAAGTGCAGAAAAACGACAGTCACCGTACATAGTGTGATAAACAGGCCCAAAAACAGAGCCCAGTCTGGGCAGCCCACAGCACATGTGATATGATGTTATTACCTGAAACACACTCGGGCCTCCAGAGAATTGAGCCTGAAAAGCATGACGGATCTGCAGGTAGCAGAAAAAAACTAATTTGGCAAACCAAATGTTCCCTTTAACGCATCAAGAGGTCATGCACAATATCCTCTTATCGTTTTCACCCCCTTTCTGCACCCAGACATGATAATCTGGAATATTGTAAAAGTGCATAAGATTAGGATTCCTAAAGGAATATGATGCGAATAAGTAGTTTGGTACGGATATAAAAGAGAGCAAATATGCTCCCAGGCTTTCAAAGTAGCAATCATTGAAGGTGACCCTACAGCCATGACATAGGAGAGAGGATAAAGCCTCATATGAGCCCAAGCTAGCCACCTCCAGGAACATCGCAAAATCATCACCTATGCGCCACCACCATCTGCCCAGCTAGGTAATACCTTTTCAAATCTGGCAATGCTAATCCCCCCCTGGTCCATGGAGCTTGCAGTGTACCAGTTTTAATCCTGGGCACCTGGGATCCCCACAGAAAAGTCTGGAATAAACCATTCACCCTTCCAAAGAAAGTCACAGGCACCGAGACAGGAGAGATACAAAGGAAATAAAAGAAAACAGGAAGGATTTTCAATAAGTTTACTTTCCCAATCAAAGGCAATGGTAGATGCTTGAATGCTTCCATGCAACCAGTCTACTCTTGAGCATGGAAATCAGAGGGAGGAGATTCAGGGTATAATAATCAGAGAATGGGGCAGCAGCTGACTATCGCCAACATCATCGCCAGGCTGTGTGGATCAACGGTCGGCCAGCCCAGGGATTAAGAGACAGCGGCGCTACTATCACCCTGATTCAGCCCCAGATGGTCACCTTAGATGAAAGAACAGGACGCTCAGTGGCCGTATGGGTGGCTGGAGGAAAGGTGCTACGGATCCCTACTGCCCATGTGCACCTGGAAATTAATCCCAAGGCAGGAGTGTAATTGAATTTAATCACAGGGTAAAATATAAATTTTATCTTAATTATAAAATAAAAAAATTAATAAAGGGGGAATTATAATAATGTCTTCCATGA